TCTTTATTTGGCAGTGGGAACTGAAATCGCTGATGACTGAAATGTGCGCTGCTGGTCCATGTCACCATCTAGCCTGGATTCCACGCGGGTCATTCTGTGTTTGCCTTGAAACTTTACAGGACATGGCTCATAATCGGCATAAGTGGCGTGTTTGCTGTCGTCTCCTAGTCGGACTGCTTGTTTAAATTGTTTCTGATATTGAATTATGTGTGGGATAATGGCTGATTATGACGGGGACAGTGAAAACTGCAAGGTAGCTGCCTCGTCAATGGCAACTTATCTTTGCATGACAGCCAGCTGTTTGCGGCCGCATTTCTTTGATGCGGAATATGCACCCTTACTCTTGAATGTTTTTGTAAAGATTTGTCGCAGCTTGACTCAGACAGCCACACACCCAGGAAAGCAGTAGGCAGCCGTTTCGTCCTAATGGGATTCGTCAGTAACTCGGATCCAGTGGATCCGAAATTGTCAGGGAGAGTAAAATCTCCCAGGAAAACTCTTTAATTAAATGAGAAAATGGTTCGAACCAATGATGTACAAAAAAAACATCAAGACGTTTCAGGAATGTTCGCGTCAGGAACATTCAGGCCTACACGACGCACGTACCTATCTCCCCATTTGGCTAGCCTTCTGGTTTTCGGTTGCGATTCGGAGATAGCAGATAGCGAATCCAGTTCAACCGGAATAGCGCAGGCAGAGGTATATCAACAAAAGTGGCAATGCAATGAATTTCTCTGCAGACCATTTTCAAATGCTGCTACCACAACCGAAGGCACAAATGGAGGCGCACATGTAACTGATCGAAACCTTGACGCAGCGCCTCAGACTGCAGTCTTCAGAAACAGCTTCACGGTACACGCAGACAAGTTCAATTGATCTCCTCTGTAATTCCATCACTGAATTCAATTATGATCTTGATTCCAGAATCACTTTCGATGCGGGGTTCAGGCGCTGGGTGAATATGCTCATAGCAGATTTCAGCCGTCAGGACGAGTCCTGCAAAATTCGACTGCTGTTCCGTAAACTGGGCACAAATTAACCTTCAAGATTCATTGATCACATACTGCCAAAACAGCCGAAATATGTTAGTTTTTCCGAAGCAGTGTCACAACTTAGCGACAATTTCGGTGGGTGGTGATCATTCTTCAGCATTCGCTGTCAGAGTCTGAAAATCATCAAACGGGACACAGACGACTATGGAGTGCTGACAGACATGGTCAAGCTGCGCTCATTGACAGATGACCAATTTAAGTGTCTCATATTTATCGGTGCCTTACATTCCACACAGGATGACGGGATCCGCACAAAACTACTCTCTAAGCTGGATCAAGACCCAGAAACGACGCTGAAATCCCTCACGACCGAGTGCAAACGATTGATGACTCTGAAACATGATACCGCCATGGTCGAGAATTCTTCCGCACAACCGCGAAATGTCCATGCTGAGACAGGCTCCAAGCGAAACAAGCCTGACAGTTCCGCTCCGAAGTCACAAACTAGACCGTCTACTGCCTTTTGATCATGCGGTGCGTGGTATTACGCCCGATTCTGTCCATTCAAGAAGCATATTTACCAAAAATGCCATAAACGAGGCCACAAAGAATAACTGCAAGCAGTCTCGACTACTGGCCACAAAACCGTTCTGCCCCAAGCAGGTCAAAATACCGTTGCAGTCCCTGTCAATCGTTGCTACTTTTCAGAGTGAGTTCAAACTCCGCAGACGTTACCTTACGGTATTATCAACGGGATTCCTTCCAGGTTGCAGTTCGACACGGCCTATTATATAACTATTCTTTTCAGTAGCACAGGGAACCACATCAAGAGGCCCGCGGTTATCGTTTCTGATAAAGTGCCTCACAATGTATCTGGCTGTGCTGACTCTGGTTGGAGAAATCACCTGCAAAATCGCTTTTAACGGGGTAGAAAAGACTGGAACGGACCGACCGAATCTGGACCCCTTCGGAATCGACTGGATCGAGAGGCTAGGACTCTTTGATGTTCCCTTGAACCAGATTTAATACCGTTATACGCTGAGCCTTCAAGCACCAAACGGAGTGTCCCCAGCAGAAGTGAGAAGCAAACAGCCCCGCAAGTCATCCCATACACTTCGACCAGCTCCTGAGTCCTCATACGGCAGAAGGAGCCGGACAATGGAGCAGGAATTCCATCAGCGGCATGGAATAGGGCAACGCTCATACAAACCAGGAGATTTAGTGTCCGCACGTGACTATAGGAAAGCCTATGCAGCATGGACTCCAGGTGAGATTAAACGCAAACATGGAGGCGTCATTTACGCTTTGCTGACCAGAATCGAGGAAGCTTGACAAGCTGCCTTTCGACCTCCTTGTGCCTCACTTCAACTTACCGAAACCAGCCAGGGATGGTCACAGTCAATCAAGCGATGCATCCGATAGTCTAGTGCCAACTCCACGAACACTTCAGTCCAAGAGGTGGACTGACAGACGGAGGATGCAATCTTCAAGACTGCAAGTCAACCCAGTTATTATTCGACACTGCAGCAGCGACCAAAAAAGGGGCATGTCAGGGAGAATAAAATCTCCCAGGAAAACTCATTAATTCAATGCGAAAACGGTTTGATCCAATGTGTGCAAAAAAACATCAAGACGTTTCAGCAATGTTCGCATCAAGAACCTTCAGGTCTACACGACACACGTACCTACCTCCCTATTGGCTAGCGGAACTGATATACCAATCGGGACAGCTGACCTAGTTGTTCTGATACGTGAATCTTCCCTGGTTGACTTATAAAAATGTCCGCTGATTTCACACTACTTGTGTGCGTTTTGGTAGCTGGTTCCACAACACGCTTTTGCCTCCAAGTTTTGCTTTCTCATTCTCGGCTGGGGTTCGGGGCTGACAGGAAACGAATTCCGTTTAACTGGAATCGCAGACTGACGTAGATCATAACGGAACTCACGACCTCACTATTACAAATCAGCGACTTATGTCACTGTGCGCTTTGTGACGGTGACGGACCACTATGACTGATTTTTAAGTGCAATGTAGCGCAGCTCATCCTTTACTATCCTGCATGTTATAAACGTGCGGAAGCTGCGACTACCTTTCCAAACCGCCACTACTCGAGGTGGCATGTAACCTTCTCCGTTGTCTGCACGTTCATAACCTGCATGACAGTGGAGGATGAGCCGCGCAGTTAGAAATCGGTTATGGTCATCTGCCGGTGGCCGGTGGCCGGTGGCCGGTGGCCGAGTGGTTGGCACGTTTGCTTTCTAACCATAAGGTCACCGGTTCGAATCCGCGTAGGGGTGGGCGTCCTCGCGGTATACACAGCCCGCGCGCGACTGGTGGTGGTCGCGCGGCAGCGAAGCGCCGTTACGGCGTATAAGCTGAAACATTTCATTTTTTTTCATTTCACTATAACCCATGGCTCAGTGGCATAAGTCGCTGAGTAGTAAGCGTAAGGTATTGGGTACGAATCCGACAGATGGGTGCTACTGACGAATCTCAGTGGGACGAAACGGCCGTGTAGCGTTTTTCTGGATGTGTACTGGCTGTCAGATTGAGTTTAGTTGCGAGAAATCTCCTCAAGCCCCCTACTTTTCTCTTGATTGTTGGTTTAAACCATTTAGGTGGTACTAGTCACGCTCATGGATTCAGAAAGTAGGTCGCATGGGCGATTGGTGACTTATTAGTGCGACAGCTGTTATAATAATACGCATTGTGTTACTGTCAGTTGCGGTTTGCACTCTTACTCGATGTCAATGGTCTGGTGACGACAGTGAACAATGCATCTGAGCTAATCTAATGACCGGTGCTCAGTAACTACCTCATGATTGCTAAGGCAACCTTGCTTCTCGATCCACCCGATCCAACTTTCGTATGTTCCCTCCAGTTGTGAAGTCGCCTCCGAATGTGTTCGTCGATACGTGTACCTATATTCCCATTAGGTTGGTAATAAGGTTGTTACCGTTTTCCACCATCTTTATTTTAACCGCTGTGTTTTTGAACACGGTCATAGCTGTCTAAGGCAACCACCATTCAATGGGCCGACAAAATGTGAATGCCCTGGACAGGTGGTCACCATAGACAGGTTCCTGCATAGGGACATTACTCATAGGAGAAAGTGTTGGGGATATTTTTGGCTTGTCGCCATAGCAGGTTGGACTGTACATTTTTATTGTTGCTTTGAGCTTGTTTATCCTTTTTAAACCTGTTTTGCGCTCTATCTAGCAATAGTGATAGTTTATTATCTAAGGAACACGTTTTTATATCTTTACAGAACCTCCAATGTAACATGGACAACAGACAAATTCGCACAATTTTTTGTCCCAATTTAAAGTTGGTGGAAATGCAGCGGAAACAGCCCATGACATTAACAGTACATTTGGTACTGGAACCGTCAACAACCGTACTGTACCATGGAGGTTTCGAAACTTTCCTAAAGGTTTCGCGAGGCTTGAAGGTGAAGAGCGTCGTCGTTGCTGCCTTGTGTTTGCACGATAGCCAGCTGTTTGTGAGGGTTGTTGACAAAGTGTAGGCATCTCGGTCTTGAGCGCCTAGGTTTTACTCTAGGTCCCCTTTTTCTGCTTGTCATTAATCTCTCTGTAAATCGTTGTGGTTGTATGGACACGAAGCACCGGTTCAGATGGCTAATCTACTGTTGCTGATGATGATGCAGCTGCTGCTGAGGATGATGATGAAGTCGTATCTGTTACGTTTTTCCCTCGGGCGTTCCCCTGTATCTCCGAGCCGCGAAAGACAACTATCGACCGTGAAAATCGGCCATGTGTTTGTGTTGCGTCTCCATTATCATATCAGACTGACACGTACGATGTGCGTATACCTTGTTAATAGCTGACCTAATACAAAGGATCACAACCCTTGAAAGTGATTTCTGACTCTCATGCACCGCTTTGACTTTTTCTGTAACAGATGGTGCGTATTTATTTTTGCCAGTATTCTTTTGCGATCAACGATCTCGTTGAATTCATTTTTCTTCATCCCGTTTTCTCTTATAGCCATTTTAACGATTGCGGGTTTATACGCGCTCACTTTCATCGCGATGAAATACCAAAACCATGTTCGAACGAAGAGAAAGTCCAGAGTCCTAGAGGAGGAGGAGGTCCGGATCGCCCTGGCGCCATTCCTCTTTGCAGAGCAGGAGCGGTTGTACCTAAGGCAACTGCGTCGTAACCGAGACTACGAGGCTAAACTAATGGCCGATGTTCCCGGTTGGAAGGTTGGTCATTGGCATGATGTACCTGTGTTCCACAATCCACGAGGACTATGGTGCGATCCAAATATGGATGAATTCTATGCGCACACTACTCGCAAAATTAAGAATCAACGTGAGGGTGTTGTCTTGGACTACTGAACGGTCCTCTTTTGCACCAAAACCTCTGTTTCATGAACTGCTTTTCTGAGTGGATAGTATAGTTTCTAGAAAACCTGTTTTGTTCTTTTTTGGGCGAGGCCCTCCTGTTCGTCCGCGTCACACCTCATCCGGTCTTCTTGCGCCGTTCACACTTGATCACCCAATGTTTCCTACTCTGGACAACTTTTTTCACCTAATTGGTCCGATGTGTCCATACTCACATAATTAAATCTTTACGTCATACTGCTGATACTTTGCTGGATCCACATGATTCGGCGTCAACAGCGCTTCTGATGTGACCGGTTGGCTATTTTGGATTTTACGGTCGACCATGAAAAAACAACCTTGCAGTCATCCGTCCAGTTGCTTCATCAACAGACTAAAAATGACACATATCAGAAATCACGATAGCGTTACCGAGTAGTCGCTTATATGGTTGGCGGCATCCGGTTCCAGATTTGCTTGTCACTGAGACTGCAAGCAGCCACAGGATGTCTGTACCTACTGAATATTCATGGGTGGCCTGGGATGCACCATCCGCATGCCACATCTTCCGGGTAAACCCGAAAGCATAAGGATGGGAGTCACCATTGTTTCATAGCGGTCCACACTCCTTCAAAATTCACAGCAGCAGCATTCCTGTCTATCTAACGGTGGAATCCTGCATACTAGACGTAAACAAGGCAGTGGATGGGCCGTATTCAGCTCCACACTGGATATCACTACTCTTTGAGCCTAGTACCGTCATGAAGACTGTGCATCCCATCTGCCCCAGCGACGATCTTTAGTCCCCTGGGGCCCGTAATCGAGGTGACAGTTTTAAACAGGCTGACACTGGTGGTATCTAGCTAGTTTGCAGCAATGACCCGAGGCTGACTTCTCGCTTGCTGGCGTCGATAGCCCCCAATCGGCCCCGATTAAGCGTGTCAGCACAGTTGCTTTGAAGTACTGCGAACAGCGCTCTCGCGAATACCACGAAGGAAACAGCTGAAGAAAATGCACCACTTTCCGATTGATTTAATTTGATGCGAAGTATAAAATGTGTTTATGCTCTTTGAATAACAACATTTTGATCTCGGTTTATACTTTGTTTTTGATTCCCTGTGGGCTATGGGGACAAGCACCTTGTCTACACTAGCATCAAGCGCAGCCAGGCATTAGGCAATAATCAAGTACTTAGTGCGACAAAATTGATTCACAGAGGTACATGAATCGTTCGGTAGCCGAAAAGATTGCACGATTGCCCTGTGACCCGGAGGTCACCGCTTCTAATCCGCGTGGGTACGTGCGACTTCGCGATATATCCTGCCCTTGCGCGACTGTTTGTCGCAGCGAAGCGTCAGTACGATGTGTCGGCATACTGTTAATGCCTTGTACGGACTAATGACAGCAACGATTCAGTATCTACCACATTATTGACATGGATTAGCAGCTGAAACCTGTAGCAGCATACTTAGCAAGCGTTGACACTTACCCATTTAACCTACCTGTTGCCTTTTGGATATTTAATTCTTTTTGGTCACACTGATGACTGGCAGGATCGACTCGGCTGAGGCACACAGCCGCAATTTCCACAGCACCATGTACTTGATTTCGATGGGCTAGGCTCCAACGGTGTTTGGCGCTTACACAACCGGCGTTTTTATTCCCTATGCGCCTGGAAAACGGTAATCTTGGTATGATCATGTCATTGGCGTCGGGCCACTGACATTGCTTCCCTACACCTAAAGTTCACATTCGTTCATGATTAACTAAACCTGATCATTGCCTACTAACTTTGCTCTGGTTTGCCCATATTTATCTTCCTTACACTCGGGCGTTTCGGTATCCTGGTCGTAGTTGCACTATGGACATGTTCTAGTCACCTGAGACGTCGCAGTAGCCGCATGCTGTCCGCTGCATACACGCCGATCGCGCATATATATATATATATATATATATATATATATATATATATGCCAGAGTTGCAGACACGGAAGTGTTGCGCCAAAGTGGGATGTATGCAGTGGACGGCATACATTTACTGCGACACCTGAGATGGCTCGGTCATGTGAGCCGTATGGATTCGACGCGAATACCGAAACAACTTTTATACGGTCAGCTGAGTATAGGGAAGCGGCACGTGGGGAAACCCAAGTTACGTTACCAGGACATGATTAAAGTGAGCCTCACACGTTCTAATCTTGATTGCAGATCATGGGAATCGAAGGCGGTTGATCGTGGTGCATGGCGCGATCTAATCACGAAGGCAGTTGCTGAAGTGCGGGAGAAAGCCCTCATGCATGCAGAGAAGAAGCGGCAAGTGCGAAAGCGGCAAGCACCGATGAATTGTACTCCATCGACATCGAGCGCATGGTGCTGTAGAACATGCGGTCGCGAGTGCCTTAGTCAGGCAGGCCTAGTGAGCCATGAGAGAGGTCACTCGGGACCACTGCCGAAGCGACGACGGGTCCCGCAGTGAACGTAGGCAGCACCGGCGCAGCGTTTGTAGGCACGCTGAATTCGATTAACTAACCGCGTGCTTGCATGCTAAGTCTCTTTATTTCAGGTGGTGGGTTTTCGGTTCTCTCCTAATGCCTTTCTCATATAAATGTCTAGCGGGCCATGAGCTAGGTCCTTTGGGGCCACTACAGAAGCGACGACGGGTCCTGCAGAGAATTACGACGAGCCGGCGCAGCGTTTGTAGGCACGCTGAATTCGATTTACTAACCGCGTGCTTGCATGCTAAGTCTCTTTATTTCAGGTGGTGGGTTTACAGTTTTTACTTTACTGCTTTTCTTTCTCATATAAATATCTCCCTTTACTCTATTCCATTACTTGCACACATCGCTTCAGCCAGTTGTATTCGATTTCCATAACATTTTTATGTTTGTGGCATTCCGTGAACTATACTTCCTGACCTCGTGCACTTAGCTAGGATCTGTTTGTAAACAACTTATTACGTATGCTATTTAATTAAGGTTTATGTCACCGTTTCCTTATGCATTAATCGAGTTTTTCTCTTTTTCTTTCTCTCTCTCTCAAGTGATTGGCTGTTGTTTGATATCCCCGGTGTGGCTGCGCTTGATGTGCATGTTGACAAGGTGCCTACCTGTCTGTTACCCACTACATCGTTCATACTGGCTCCAGGAGACAGTTGGTCGTTGCTTGAGGGGACGGGGTGCACGGTTCTTGTGGCCGTGCTAGGCTCGAAGAGTGGTTCCATGCACTCAGTGTGGAGCGGACTACGGTCCAGCCACCGCCTTGTGTGCGCTTGATTCCCAAATACAGTGTTGCTTGTGTTTGCCTGTGAAGGAGTGTGGGCCGGCTCCGTTGATGAAACGTGGCTCCCATCCGCATGCCTCCCGGTCTTATTCCTTCGGGTTTACACTGGATATGGGGTATGTGGTTGGAGCTGTGAGTGGTGCAGCGCAAGCCACCCATGGTCCCCTTTGTAGGCGCAGGCGCCCTGTGGCTGAACACAGTGACAGGCAAATCCGAAACCGGATGTCCCAACCATGTGTGGGCTGTGCCCCATGCTGAGGCTGATGTTGCATTCTTGATGCTTCTTCACCGCAGTTGGGCTAAACCAACTTACACTTAAACTAGGTCTTTTTAAGCTGGCTAAATTTCATTCCGCTTTATTTGGTTTGTTCTGCCTCCCTGAATAATGTTCTATTAACTGGCCACGTTGCTTACACTAATTGCGCTTATCTTCGGTAATTTTGTTGCGTTTGCAGCATTCTAAGTAACTTGTGGACATTTCTTACTTATCACGGATTTGTTGCTGACCAACTTACTTCATATGGTAATTTAGCGAAGAGTTATGCCACCGTATCTGTATGCATTATTGGATTTATTTTATTTCAGCTTGTCGTTTAAATTGAGTGGCTGTTGTTTGATATCCCTGGTATGGTTGCGCTTGATGTGTATGTTGACAAGGTGCCTACCTGTCTATTACCCACTACATCGTTCATACTGGCTCCAGGAGACAGTTGGTCGTTGCTGGAGGGGACGGGGTGCACGGTTCTTGTGGCCGTGTTAGGCTCAAAGAGCGGTTCCATGCACTCAGTGTGGAGCGGACTACAGTCCAGCCACCGCCTTGTGTGCGGTTGATTCCCCAAATACAGCGTGCTTGTGTTTGCCTGTGAAGGAGTGTGGACCGGCTCCGTTGATGAAACGTGGTTCCCATCCGCATGCCTCCCGGTCTTATTCCTTCGGGTTTACACTGGATATGGGGTATGTGGTTGGAGCTGTGGGTGGTGCAGCGCAAGCCATCCATGGTCCCTCTGTAGGCGCAGGCGTCCTGTGGCTTGCCACAGTGACAGGCAAATCCGAAACCGGATGCCTCCAACCATACATACATACATATATATATATATATATATATATATATATGGTTGGCTTCATTCGCTTACGAATGTGCCGAACACTGCGGCCTCAACGGGGGCGGCCAGAGGACGCCTGCGCCTACAGACGGACCATGCGGGGCTTGCGCTGCGCCACCCACAGCTCCATCCACGCCTCCGGTGTCGACCCGAAGGAAAAAGACCGGGAGGCATGTGGATGGGAGCCGGCCCAACTCCTCCACAGGTAATCACAAGCACGCTGTATTTGAGGAATCAAGAGAATACAAGGCGGTGGTTAGGCCGTAGCCCGCTCCACACACAAACCATGTGCACAGAATCACTCTTCGAGTCTAACACGGTCACGAGGACTGTGCACCCCGTCCCCTAGAGCCAGTATAGACGAGGTGGTCGGGAATAGACAGATAGACACCTTGTCAACATGCATATCAAGCGCAGCCACATCGTGGATGTCAGGCAACAATCGATCACTTGAAATGACAACATAAAAAAAATAAATCGGATAAAGCATACGTATACGCCGGCTTAACTTTTCGCTAACTTGGCATAAGAAATAAATGTGTCATCAACATATCCGCGATAAATTCAACATGGTAGAAAAAAGATCAAAAAATATGTGTAACAAACATGCAAATTAACGAAAATAACCACCTTTCCTTTATGCAGCGTGTGTAAGTAAATTGCAAATTATTCAGAAAGACATTAAAATGAACTAACAAAGTATATATTAAAAATATAGTAAAACGATCACCTGCAATAAAGATACTCATCAAGCAAACACGCGATTATTAAAACTAATGCGGCTTTACCTACCAACGCTGCGCCGGTTCTACCTAAGTTCTCAGCAGCACCCGTCGACTTTTCCTTGATAGTCCCGAGTAACCTCCCTCGTGGCCCACTGAGTCTATCTGATTCATGCACTCACGACCGCATGTGCTACAGCACCATGCGCTTGACGTTGACGCAGTACACTCCATCGGCCCCTGTCGCTTCCGCAACTGCCGTCTCTTCTGTGCATGCACGAGAGCTTTCTCTTGCACCTCAGCAACTGTCTTCATGATCAGATCGCGACATGCACGTCGCTCAACCGCCTTCGATTCTCAACACCTGAAATCAACATCAGAACGTGATAGGCTCATCTTGATCATGTCCTGATAACAAAGATTCGGTTTCCTCACATGTCGCTCCCCCACACTCAGCTCATCATAAAGCAGGTGCTTTGGTATTCGCCTCGAATCCATTCGGCACACATTAACGAGCCACTGCGGTCCACTGTATTCATACCATTTCTGCACAACGCTTACGTGTCTGCAACTGTCGCACCAACCGATACGCAGAATCCGCCGTAGACACTGTTGATAAAACCGTTCGAGATGTCTCACATCTCGCCAGTACATTGTCCACGTTTCACTTCGTATAGAGGAACTGGCTGTAGAACAAATTTGCGACTACCCAAGTCTCACCTCTGTTAAATAGCTACTTCTGCGTTGGTCAGTCTCACCGTCCGGAATGGATGATTCGTGTACCCGCCCCCTCGTCCATTTTCTATTCCAAAGCTATGTACCATGAGTCCCTTACTGTGTGACTTCGTGTCCGCTTTCCAGTTCATCCACGTCCTACCTCGTTTTCACTCCTATGCACAAGTACCCCTA